TGTTGTTGTTGTTGTTGTTGTTGTTGTTGTTGTTGTTGTTGTTGTTGCTGTTGGTTTTGTTGTTGTTGTTGTTTTGCAGGTCGCCAGCGTGGAGCACGGATATGTCGCCCAGGTAAGTACCGCTGACACAGGTATGGTCTCCGCCTCTCTTCTTCTTCTTCTTCTTCTTCTTCTTTTTGTGGTTGTATTTCTTCTTCTTCTTCTTAAGGTTGTTGTTGTTCTTCTTATACTTCTTCTTGTAATCGTTGTTGTTGTTGTTGTTGTTGTTGTTGTTGTTGTTGTTGTTGTTGTGCAGATCGCATGCGTGGAGCACGGCTATTGCGCCCAGGTAAGTACCTCTGACGCAGGTATGGCGTCCGCCCCTGTTTTTCCTCTTCTTCTTCTTCTTCTTCTTCTACTTCTTCTTCTTCTTCTTCTTCTACTTCTTCTTCTTCTTCTTCTTCTTCTTCTTCTTCTTCTTCTTGTTGCTGTTGTTGTTGTTGTTGTTGTTGTTGTTGTTGTTGTTGTTGTTGTTGTTGTTGTTGTTGTTGTTGTTGTTGTTGTGCAGGTCGCCAGAGTGGAGCACGGCTATGGCGCCCAGCTAAGTACCGCTGACGCAGGTATGGCCTCCGCCCCTCTTCTTCTTCTTCTTCTTCTTCTTCTTCTTCTTCTTCTTCTTCTTCTTTTCTTCTTCTTCTTCTTCTTCTTCTTCTTCTTCTTCTTCTCCTTCTTCTTCGTCTTCTTCTTCTTCTTCACCTTCTTCTTCGTCTTCGTCTTCGTCTTCTTCCTCTTCTTCTTCTTCTTCCTCTTCTTATTTTTCTTGTGGCTGTTGTTGTTGTTGCTGTTGTTGTTGTTGTTGGTATTGTTGTTGTGCAGGTCGCCAGCATGGAGCACGGCTATGGTGCCCAGGTAAGTTCCGCTGACGCAGGTATGGCATCCGCCCGTCTCTTCTTCTTCTTCTTCTTCTTCTTCTTCTTTTTCTTGTGGTTCTTCTTTTTCTTCTTCTTCTTCTTCTTCTTCTTCTTCTTCTTCTTCGTCCTCTACTTCTTCTTCTTCTTCGTCTTCGTCTTGTGGTTGTTTTTCTTGTTTTTGTTCTTGTTGTGGTTTTTGTTGTTGTTGTTGTTGTTGTTGTTGTTGTTGTGCAGGTCGCCAGCTTGGAGCACGGCTATGGCGCCCAGGTAAGTACCGCTGACGCAGGTATGGCCTCCGCCCCTCTTCTTCTTCTTCTTCTTCCTCTTGTTGTTGCTGTTGTTGTTGTTGTTGTGCAGGTGGGCAGCGTGGAGCACGGCTATGTCGCCCAGGTAAGTACCACTGACGCAGGTACGGTCTCCGCCCCACTTCTTCTTCTTCTTTTTCTTCTTCTTCTTCTTCTTCTTCTTCTTCTTCTTCTTCTTCTTCTTGCTGTTGTTGTGCAGGTCGCCAGCGTGGAGCACGGCTATGGCGCCCAGGTAAGTAGCTCTGACGCAGGTATGGCCTCCGCCCCTCTTCTTCTTCTTCTTCTTCTTCTTCTTCTTCTTGTGGTGGTTGTTTTTGTTTTTGTTGTTGTTGTTGTTATTGTTGTTGCTGTTGTTGTTGTTGTTGTTGTGCAGGTCGCCAGCGTAGAGCACGGCTATGGCGCCCAGGCAAATACCGCTGACGCAGGTACGGCCTCCGCCCCTCTCCTTCTTCTTCTTCTTCTTCTTGTGGTTGTTGTTGTTGTTCTTCTTTTTCTTCATTTTGTGGTTGTTGTTGTTGTTGTTGTTGTTGTGCAGATCGACAGCGTGGAGCACGGCTATAACGTCCAGGTAAGTACCGTTGACGCAGGTATGGCCTCCGCCCCCGTTCTTGTTCTTGTTCTTGTTCTTCTTCTTCTTCTTCTTCTTCTTCTTCCTCCTCCTCTTCTTTTTCTTCCTCTTCTTCCTCTTCTTCTTCTTCCTCTTCTTCTTCTTCTTCTTCTTCTTCTTCCTCCTCTTCTTTTTCTTCCTCTTCTTCCTCTTCCTCTTCTTCTTCTTCTTCTTCTTCTTCTTCTTCTTCTTGTGGTTGTTGTTGTTGTTGTTGTTGTTGTTGTTGTTGTGCAGATCACCAGCGTGGAGCACGGCTATGGCGCCCAGGTAATTACCTTCGACGCAGGTATGGCCTCCGCCCCTGTTCTTCTTCTTTTTCGTTTTCTTCTTCTTCTTCTTCTTCTTCTTCTTCTTCTTCTTCTTCTTCTTCTTCTTCTTCTTCCTCTTCTTCTTCTTCTTCTTCTTCTTCTTATTCTTCTTCTTGCTGTTGTTGTTGTTGTTGTTGTGCAGGTCGCCAGCGTGGAGCACGGCTATGGCGCCCAGGTAAGTACCGCTGACGCAGGTATGGCCTCC